TTCATGATTCATATATTCATGGGTGTGCATTTCAACAAAACAAACTTGTTGTACACATTAGTGTAACAATACATATCTCATATTCAAGTCATGTGTGGTACTTCCCTTAGCGTAACATATCATACTGGTCAAACATATCAAGTTCCATAATGGACCCTTCGGTACCGGCAACATGTCTCATACATAGGCCACGATATTATTTCCCTCGGGCTAGGGCCTCATGACCATAAGCCACAGTATTATGTCCCCTGGGCGAGGGCCTCTGCTAAGGATACCACAATTACGTTCCAGGAAATTTGGACAATCATTAATTCGTTTCATATCATCATAACATAATTAAGGCTAAACACAACCTTATAGAGTTCTTATTCACTATCTGATTAAACTTGCATTATACTTTATATAAAAGATTCACAAGTATGCATATACAAAGGAGTACATATATTTAGATAATTGCAATGCAAGATAACTCAACCCGCGAGCGTACATCGAAAATCTTGGGGTTTTTTTTTTTTTCCCAAAAAAGCAAAGAATTTGGGAAGTTCTTGAAGCTTCATCTTGACATTCAAGAAGGCTCTAAATGCATGATTTCGGCCCAAATTTCAATAATCATATACTAACATGGTACAAACAATAGAATTACAACATATTGAAGCTCAATTTCATAATTTATTTTACATGCATGGCTCATTTTTCCACCAACTCATTCCGATGTAGCCATTTCATGCATCAAAGCTCATTATGCTCTTCAATTTTGTACATTGCATGTGATGGATTAGCCACATTTCTCAACTTAGATAACACCAATGGTGATCAAGACAGGAGTTTCCTTAATATTTCACATGGGTTATACACATTTGTGCTCAAAACATGCCAAATTTCAAAGTATTTCTTACAGCATGCACATTTATTAAGCTTCCAATTCAAACAAACACAACTGCAACTTCATTACAATCTTGTTCTTGAGTTCACCAAGATAGCTTGGACATGCACAATTTCAATTAAATCCCAAGAAATCACTCAACCTAGAGCTTGATCCTCAACAATCTATGATCAGAAATCTTGAATTAGACTTCCAATCTCCAAGTTTCAAGACACAAAGTTGCATAATCCCTCTTTCTCCCTCCTATGGTCGGCTCTCCCTCTCAAATTGAGTTCCAAGAATCAAGCCAAAATAAGCGCAAGGGCAGAGGAAATAAGGTGTAGGCTTTCAAATATTATTAAGCTCCCACTAAGTCAATATTAATAATATAAATAATGGGGTACTTAACTCTTATCATTTCAATCAGTTTAAATTGGCACCAGAATCAATTTTCAATTAAATTTCACCGTAGGCTCTAAAAATATTATGCCAAACCACAATGCGCGTTAATCAATTTCGGGTTTCTGTGGCCATAAGGCCTCCAATTAAATTTCCGAAGCGGATATTCAAACAGAGTATTCCTACGGTGAACAGATTGGGAAACTTCAAATTCAATTTTCACATAGTGGAACACAAATCATATCAAAATTACATAATTCAACATCATGTTAAGGACCAAATAACATGATTTACGCGAACAGGGGTTATTACAAGTCTTCCCCCCTTAGGAAGTTTGTCCTCCAAACTCAAGTTTACCTGTAGTCGAAAAATGATTCGGTAATACTTCTTATTCAACGGTTCCATTTCTTTTTGATAGCCACTCTTACTTAGCCCCCAAAGTCAAAACAAAAACTCCAGTTCTTACTCGGTCAGAGACTTACCTTTTTCCATACAAGGCCTATATGGGCCATACCGAAAACTAAAGTGAAGCCGTCGTCGTGCAGTAAAGGTCTGCCAACATGAATAGATCATTTCCAATTCCTTCGAAAATCTAAGTACACATTTGGAGCATTTCTCCCAGAGTCTAACAAGTTTCTTTCTGATCATACATCAATTTTGCGGATGGAAAAACGGCGCCGAATCATAATTCAGTTTCCGTATCAAATTCCTAATTTGGTCCAGATCATTACAGAAATCATAAAAGTCATGATGAAGTTTTACGTGAACACATCCATTTAGCATTAACAGAACAAACTAAACGCGAACAGTACAGAACATAACATGGAGGTACGAATAAACCATTTCATAAGGGAACCTTCCGGGTCCGGGCTAACATAAACAAACAGAAGCTGACCCCCATTGCCTTTTTGAAGGCTTTTCCGGATTTCAAACCACATTTTAGAATTTCTAGTCTAAACAATTAGTTACTGGACTCCATGCTAAATGAGCGATCTCATCGATGTAAACAGTGGCCTAGTCTACAAGCATCATACAAAAATTTTTATAGGGAGAAAAATGGGCAACTTCAATAATTTTACCTACAATAGCCCAAATGGGGACTTAATTTACCTTGGGTGCTCAAGGTAGTTCCCCACAACGAAATTCGGAGCCACATATCCATTCCCATTCCAAAATGGAGAGATTGAAGCAGTTCTGCCACCACTTGATATCGACTCCACCTGTTGGTAGCCGAAAATATTCAAACACAAAATTCACTAATTGCCCCATTACATGCGTTAGGTCACCCAACAAATTTATTTTAGGATGTCGGCTAACTTTATCACAGAAGTTCGGGTCTATTCTGTAGTACACAAAGTTCAATTCATTCTTCAAAATTTTCCCAATCACGCATCTGATTCGCGTTATTTAGGTCCAGTGACTCATCACAATTATACCAAGGTCAAATAGCAGTCTTCAGGAACATAAGATGGATCCAATTACTGATTCCCCGATAACAACAAAGTAACATCGAAGTAATTACCCACACAATACAACATAGTCCAGACATCCCCATAATACTGATTGTAAGGTACAACAAACACTTGAGGCAATCGATCCTCTGATTAGAACACACGTATCTCTCAGTTCATTCAACAGTTTACAGTTTGCAATTCAAAACAATTCAGTCAGTATTCAATTCTCTGTCCATCAAGTCTTTCTACTTATCTTATTAGTTCGTTAAAACGCAAAGGCCAATTCAATATAAACCTCCATAATGGCCAAAGTCAGTAGTAGTCCAAAGGAGTTCACAATCACATGTTAAGCACAATTTACACATCCTCAGGGGCCCCAATTACAGAATATGAGCGCTGGCAGGCGTTCACATGTGCCACTGGAATCTCGCACACTATGGTGTTGATCAGGATTTTTCAAAGCTTCTTGGACGTCTAAACATTACATTAATGCCAAAGGATGACATTCCAAACCAAAAACAAAGGAATAAGACGTCCTCGGAATCGAAGCAACCCGTTTTGCGACTCGGCCGGGCCGATCCAGACGATTAGTCAACACCCACCCGCTACAAACCGTCGGTATTCACATATTCCTCTTTTAGGCTTTATTCTTATCTCATTAGCTCATTTACAATGCTTAACATAAGCCTAAGAATGCTTGCAAGTGAAAGAGAACGGAAAACAGAACACAAAATGCAAAAACAGGATTTCAGAAAATAGGGTCCCCGCTCGAGCGTGGACTTCCCCGCTCGAGCGGACCCTTAGGTCTGCAAAAGTACTGGTTGCCTTCAATTCCAGCTCGAGCGTGAACTCGGCCGCTCGAGCGGACTGCCTGTCTACATAGCTCCCCGCTCGAGCGTCAACTTCCCCGCTCGAGCGGGAACCATGTCTGCAGAAAGTGCTGGGAGCTCGATTTCTCCGCTCGAGCGTCAGGTTCCCCGCTCGAGCGGACATCAAAATTCTGGGTTTTCCAGATTGTGTTCTTGAGCTCCCTTCAACATTCAAACCATCATTTCATGCTTTTGGTGGCTCCAATTTCACATATACTTGTACTAACATGGTATAAACACCAAAATACATCTTCATGGAGCCCAATTTCATAAATCAAATACATGCACGGCTCAATTTAATTCAAGCTCAATTCTATTATACACATTCATGCATTCAAAGCTCCTATCTTTAATTATTCAACATGCATGCTAATCTTGACTTCATTTCCAATCCAAATAATGCAATTGGTGTTCATTCTCATGGAGCTCAACAAAAACATGCTTGCATGTAAGATTTAACACCTTTATTTCCATGTTTAACTCAATACATGCTAGATTATACATTTTCATGGCAATTCTATGCATGCATATGCATATAAACTTCAATCTCATCATACTCAACGCCATTCATGTTCTTGATCAGATATTCTCTTTGAATTCACATTATTACATACACAAATTCATGAATTAAGGGTTGATCACTCACCTAGGAGCTTCAATCTCCACCCATTCTTGTTAATTCTAGAGTGTAGCTTCCCAATCCACAATCTTGAATCAAAATGCCCAATGGTGCCTCCCCTCTCCCTCAAAGTCGACTCTCCCTAGCCGGCCTCTCTCTCCCTCTCAATTGTCTAACTCAGATGTTGAGTTTTAAGAGAGCTAAAGGAGAGTGCAATGCCAATATACAACAAGCCCCACTAACAATTATTTTAATATAAAATAATGGGGTCCTTAATTTATCAATTTAATCAGTTTAAATTGACCAGAATCAATTTTTCAATTAAATTTCACCGTAGGCTCTAAAAATTATGCCAATCACAACGGCGTAATCAATTTCGGGTTCTGTGGCCGATAAGGCCTCCAATTTAATTTCCGAAGCGGCAAAATCAAACAGATATCCCTACGGTGAACAGATAGAAATTCAAAACCACATATTTTCACATAATGGCATACAAAACCATGCTAAACACATAACCATAAACAAATTAAGGACCAATTAGCATAATACAGAACAGGGATGTCACACTCAGTATACCAAAAATAAATTTAATGTGTATTTTCATATTTGGAAAATTCAAGAATCTAATAAAATGGGTTAGGTTTTTTAGGTCAATGATCTAAAAATGTATTGCAATAGATTTGTAAGAACTGTTTACATTTAATTATTCAAATATGAAATATATTAATTTGAAAACAAAATGGAATCAAGTTTTTGTGCTTAGTTATGTTTGTAACACCATGTGAATGAACTCACAGGATAAATTGGCAACCATTGAAGAATTGACCATCTCTAACATGGAGAATCTGATGGAAATTTGGCCCGGGGAACTTGAAGCTAAACTAAGAAAGATGGAGGTTAAATTGAGTAATGGGCTCTCAAGTATTCTTTTCCCATCCAATTCAATTAAGGGCATGCAAAATCTTGAAGTACTTGAAGTGGAGGACTGTCGATCTATCGGAGTAGCCTTTGACCTTGAAGGACTTGTTTGGGAAGGCATATTAGATATGGCACTCCCTTCACTAACAAAGGTGAAACTAAGTTGTTTGTCAAAGTTGACACATGTTTGGAAGGACAATTCGCCGGGAATTCAAGGCTTTCAGAATCTAAGATCCTTAATAGTAAATGAGTGTGACAGTTTGAGAAATCTATTCTCATACTCTCTAGCCAAACTTTTTGTAAAACTACAAGAAATGAAGGTAACTGAATGTGTCATGATGGAGTCAATTATTAGAAATGAACCAAATGCAGATGATGCAGTGATAACAAATATGATCATGTTCCCTCAACTTAGTAGTCTCATACTCAGTGATTTGCCAAACCTTAGTAGTTTTTGCTCTAAGGCTTGTACGTTTGAGGGATCGTTGTTGAAAACAATACAAGTAATCAACTGTCCCAAAATGAAGATACTCCCATCAGCATTTCAGCGCATGCTAGAGCAACAAAAGGCAGACTTTTCAACCTCGTCTCAACTCCATCTCTTTGATGGAAAGGTACGTTAATTAACTTTTAAAGAATAGCATTCACCGTTAATTAATTATCAATTCCTGCAAAGAAAAATGGATGGGAAATGTGTGTTTTTGAAAATAGACCAACGATTTTTTTTAGATGACAAACATGACAAATTGAACATGTTACAATTATGAGATCGAGATAATTTTTTGTTTGGAAGATTTACGCAAAAGGCTCTATAAAATAAACGGTTAAGATATTTCGATAATCTAAATTGTTTATTTTGTGAGATTTGTGCATAAATTATCAATTAGAAAATCATATTGATATGATAATCATAATATTGTAATTTTATCATATTTATGTTCAAAAAAAAAAAAAAAATGAAAGATCGTCCAGTTTTTTGAATCCATTTTTTGAAGACAAAGATGATAAAATCATATTGTTTTAATTATTGAATTAATATGATTAGTTTATTATTATTATATTTTATGATCCATACACAAAGACTTTTATAAATAAAAAAAAACAATTTAAATTACCAAAGTGGGACTTGTGATAAACGTACGCACCTACCTAGCCCAACCACTCTTTCATATTTTTTAACAAAGATTTATTAGGTAAACAAATTTGTAAACATCAATTCTTGGAGTTCTCCATTCTAGTTTATTGATGAACAACAAATGGACAAATAGATGGACATGTGGACAAAATGACAGATTTGTGAATAAATAGATATATGGGTAAATGTTATATGATATTTGAAATTGTTGTTATCATTATGGATAAATATATATAATTTCAGACAATTGCCCCCAAATTTTAATTTTAAATTTAAATGATTAACCAGAGTGTTCTTTATTAAACTAATATATTGATAATATATGAGATGATAAATTGTATTAATTCCCCACCATGATTTGATCATAACTCCCACTTGATTTGAACGGTTTGAGATGTTCAATTAGTCAATCAATACCCATCTAGTTCAATTTTGTTCACATATTTTTTGAATGTGTAATACACATATTTTAATTGATGCAGAATAATAAAATTAATTATTTTGGGTGGAGTCATTATACTTTTAGATATGGGATTTACATATTAAAGGAATCCTATTTTGTGTATTTTTTTTGTTGTATAAACAAATTCATTTTCATGTCATGCACTCCTTAATTTGTGTTAATTTTGTCTATTGTATAAAATGTGTCCTATGGTATTTCTATCAGGGGCCATTTGCCGTATTTGTTAAAATTATGATAAGTTGTGAAGATCATCCTTATAAAAAATTAAATTAATTTGAATACTATAATTACATTATTATATTACATTTATTTTCAAAATAAAAAAAAAGTATATAATAAAATTATAATTGTTGTCCATTTCTATAGGACAAATGTAATCTAATCATGTAATTATAGTTGTCTAAACAATTTGATTGATTTTCTTGATAGTTCTTCGATATGATTGGCTCAGATCATTGAGGTTGGCTTCGTGATGGCCTAGAAGCCCAACAACACCTCCAATTACATGTGCCAACTGAATAAAAACGTTATTCTAATTTGATATATTATTAAAGATTTTTAAGTCTCTTGAATCTTACTGATTTATCCCTACTCAAATTCGCCATTCAAAGTGCGTAATTTATTTATTTTTTAATGTTCTAATGTCCATAATTTTATATTGGTACTCGTGATATTGTGACAATAAGACTTTTTGGATCTTGTTTCTTAATGAGTGGAGCCTTCTCAGGGAAAAAAAAGAAAAAAAAAACTATACAAATCTTAACTATGATATTTAAAAAAAAATAAAAAAAGATTTATAAATAAATTTTGGGTTAATTTTAAAAAAAATCTTAAGGTTTTATGCATTTTTCACTTTAAATCCTAATGTTTCAATTTCGACAAATTAAATCCTGATGTTTCATCCGTATTTCAATTGCCTCCTTCGTCCATCTCCATCTATGTAAGATAACAGTTGGAGTTTAAAGTGAAAAATATGTGAAATTTTGGGCTTTATTTTGTAATTAAACCTTTTTTGTTTTTAATGATTTTAATTTTAAAAAAAATGGTTAAATACACAAAAAAAATCCCAAGACTTCATGTATTTTTCACTTTAAACTCCAATATTTTCACTTTAAAGCTCCACCGTTACTTTACACATAGGAGATAGACGAATGGTGCAAATTGAAACATGGATGAAATTCTAAGATTTAATTCATCAAAATTAAAACACTGAAATTTAAAGTGAAAAATGCGTGAAATCTTTAGTTTTTTTTTTTATTTTTAAATTAACCAATAAAACTTTTATATATACAACTTATAAAAAAATAGGTGCGAGTAGCAAAATTTAGGGACTACTATGTAATTTTTCCCTTTTTATAATAGTTGCAAAGTGAGATGGTAACTGTCTAACAGGTGTTAGGGAAGAGAGTTGGACGTGTAAAATTTAAATAGAAAATGCGATTTCTCTATTTAATTTTTGGCTTGAAGCACTGCTTTACTACAATTTTTCTTGATGATAGACTACTGTATTTTAAAATTCATTTTCAGATTTCATACAAGCTCTTGTACCATATTGAGTCTGACTATTCTATTTTAAGGTTTGTTTGGTTCATGAATTTGGACATAGATTTGAAAATAGAAAAAAAGAAAAAAAAAATGTGTGTGAGATTTAGGTAAAATATAATTATATTTCACTCACATTTTATTTATATTTCTTTTTTCCTTTTCAAATTTCTCCTCAAATTCATGAACCAAACACAACATAAGACAATTTGGATGCTGCTGTTTTTCATTAATTAAATTCCATGCACAAAACAAGTTGTGTCCTAAGTTTAAACCCTTCATTTTCCTTGGCTATTGTTCAAATACTAAGGTTGTATTTTGAATCATGGATTTAGGTATGAATTTTAAAATAGAAAAGGAAAAAGGTGAGAACAATGTGAATAAAGTATAAACTAATTTTTTCTCTCTTTTTCTTTTCAACTTTCTATTTAAATTCATAATCCAAATACAACGTAAAAGATACTAATGATTTAATCTTTTAAATGTTGACTTACCAAGAAAGATTTTAATCATTGTTGGGTATCTTACATTATGCAAGTATTTTACAGGGCAGAAAATATCATTTTGTCTCCAAATTATCACTCAAAAATTATTTTTACTTTTATTCTTTTAATAATATCAATTGATTTTGAATCAATTTTATCATCACCATTAATTGCCGTCTATGATCAAATGAAAGTTGTTGATATGACACCAAAACTTTATTTAAAATTTCATTTTATTTCCAAACTATCCCCAGAGCTGATAAATAAAATGAAGGTTTGGGGTAAAGTAACAATGTCACTAACACTAACACAGTTAAGTTTGATGGATATGCAGTTTATTTTCAGAGACGAAAAGTTCACCGGCTTTGGACAACTTACCATCACAGACATAGATGGATCAATAGAGATGTCGCACAACCAACTTGCAGTTGACCGCCATGACCTAGTGAGATTCATGTTGGTCCAATTTTGCGGGAAATTATCAAATGTGATCTCGTCGAATTTAATGCAAAGACTACCATATCTACAACGGCTGAAGGTATGGTGGTGTGATTCACTGGAAACAATATTTGACCTCCAAGGGTCGGCACGCGCTGATACTACTGGTGAGGAAGGAACATCAATCCTTTGCTTCAGAGAGTTCCTTTGCTTCAGAGAGTTGAAATTGATGTACTTGCCCAAGTTGACGCATATATGGAAGAATGTTTCCCAACAAACTCATTGTTTCGAAAATCTAGGATCCCTAGAAGTGGAGAGGTGTGACAACCTGAGATATATATTCACAATTTCCATGGTCAAGGTCCTTGTGTGTCTAAATTATCTAAGAATTGGAAATTGCAAGAAAGTAGAAAAGATTGTTACCAGAGAAGAAGAAGAAGATGACGATGACGACGATGACGACGATGACAACAACTTAAGCGTGGTACTTGAAAATCTTCCGAGTGTCGTGTGTATTGGAATTCCAGAATCCCAAATGCGTATCTCCAAATTGCATGTAGATTTCTGCCCCAAATATCGAGGTAACTAATTATACTTCTACGGAAATATGCTTCTCTCAAGAAAGTAACTTCACTACCCTATATACCTGCCACGTCGACATTTCCCAAAATGCGAGTGGTTTAAGAAAGAAAATTCTTTCCAACATTTTCTTCATCTATTCATCATAAAATAGTTGATCCAAAAGTCACAACTAGTGATAATGATTAATTGTTGAATGGAAAAAAGTGTTAGAGAGAATTCAAATCCGCAATTTAGCCGTTGTCATCCATGGTTCAGTTACATCCAATCAGACTTGTTGGCTTCATTTACCATAAAACATGTGATGATTGAAGCTATAGCACCTTGAGAAACCACTCTCATTTTGTTTTTCCTAAGGGAAAATTATGTTAGTAGTCTCAATATTTTGATCTTTGTGTCATTTTTATCTCTGTAATTTTAATTAGCTCGATTTTAATTCTAAATTTATAATTTTTTCTCAATTTAGTCCAATTGCTTACAATTGTTAGTATTTTAATAAAAAATACACATATAAGTGACATGCCATGCTTTTAAAATCAAAATTATAAATGTACTCAACTCAGTGAGTTAGCCCCAAGTAATTTAGTGATCATTTTTCGTCAAAAATACAAATGCCGTTATCAATTGGATTAAACTAACAGAAAGTTTAAAATCAAGGCAAAATTGAGTCAATTGAATATATAGAGATCAAAATAATATAAAAGACAAAATATAAAGACTACTAGTGTCATTTGCCCTAACAATAATAAGAAAATGCTACATATAATTATATTTCTAATTATCTCATTTTTTCATACACAAATAAATGGGTTGTATACACATTTATGAATATGAATCCCATTTTTTTTGTGTCTAGAAATGATAAAAAGAGATAAAAAATGAAATTACATATAACATTGTGTCTCCAAAATACCAATCCTTAATAAACTGTGTGCATGTTCTTAATCGTAAGATATTATTATTGTCTCCAACAATTGGTATAATTTCGGAAAATAATAGTATATCCTCGAGATTTTGAGCATTATACACTAATTTCAATAGATTAATTCATTAACTTATGCTCTGTTTGGATATTTGGAGAGGGATTTGGAAACGAAAAGTAAAAAAAAAAAAAAAAACTAGAAGCAAAAGGAAGAAGAGAGAGAACAATATACAATTTGTACAGAGAAAACAAAACATACATAAAGGAGAAATATCTTATGTGACCATCATCATTACTAGGAGTTAGGCATCTCAAATTTAACAAATTTGAAAAGATAACATCTACATTAGTTTTTCATGTTAAATGCTAAAGAATGTTGAATGTGACAGTAACATAAATAAGTACAAATTGCGAAAGGAGCAGGAGAAATTTAAAAGACGTGGTAGATTTGACCAAAATAATCAACTAATGACAACAAGTGAAAAGTCAAAATCAAAATAAAGTAAAAATGATACACAACTGCGCAAATTGAAAGAAAAAGAACAATTAGGGGAAAAAAATTAATACTTGAAACAAATCTTACATTCTCATCTTGCTGAGTAATGAAAATCTACTATACAACAGTAAAACTAAACACTAACCGCATATTTAGCACTAAAAATTTTAAAACTGAAAATGAATTTATCATAAAACACCAATCAAAGTTTTTACAAGTAATATTCCAATCATAAATTTGAAAACAAAAAACAAAAAATTTTGCTGGAGAGACAAAAAAAAAAAAAAAAAAAAAAAAAAAAAAAAAAAAAAATA